AGGAGAGAGGGGTTCACCCCCCTCTGATTTGGAGGCTCAAAACAGTGTGCTAACCACTGAAAATCTACTGGATTTCAGTGGCTAGAAGGCCAAACAAAGCATGCAATTGGGGCTTAAGTGTAAGGCTCAAAACAAGCGATAATCAAGCATACAAGGAAGCATGTGACCTCAAATAAAATAATGCCCTTAATAAAAAATGAAGATGATGTCAAAACAAGCCTTTTTCAAGTTTATAACAAGTCTCAAAAATGAACATAAATAGGGCTAATCTATCATGCAAAAAATGGCCCTAAAAGAGAGAATAGAGACAAGGGACAGCAGCTGGGCCCAAACAGTGAAGAGCCCTTCAACAAAGTTCAAGATGGGCTCAAAATGAAGCACTTTACAGTTTACATCAAGTCTCAAAAATGAACAAAAGTGAGGCTAAATCAGCATGCAAGAAAAAAGGCTAAAAGAGGGATAAAGAGGCAAGTGGTAGCAGCTGACCTCAAACAGAGGAGAGCTCTTCAACAAAGTTGAAGAGGGGCTCAAAAAAAGATATTTTACAGTTTATAACCAAATCCAAAACAGCTCACAAATAAGACTAAAATACCATGCAAAAATAGGCCTAAAAGAGAGATTAAACACAAAGGGTAAGGAGAAGACCTCAAACAGCAAAAAGTCCTGGATCAAACATGAAGAGGAGCTCAAAATATGACTATTTTCAGTTCAGGTCGGAGCTCAAAAATGTAAGCAAAAGGGGCTAAGATAGCATGCAAAATAGGGCAAGAAAAGAGGAAATAGGGACTCACCCTTGTAGCACAGGTTTCCAGCAGCTTTTGGTCCAAGAAGAGGAGCTCCTAACCTCTGAAAAACAGCCTCAAGTTGCTGGAATGGAGTGTGGAGGTTGTAGGCTTGGAGGTGGTGTGTAAAGGTCAAGAACAATGGGTGTTTGGAGCTTGAAAATGGAGAGCAATGAAGGAGGGAAGGGTGTATGCTCTAGCTGGTTTTCTAACCCTTCAAAATGGAGCTGGGGTGCTGGTTTTATAGAGGGAGAGAGGCCAAGGAAAGGGGGGGAAAAACAAATTCAAATTTCCCCCCAAAAGACAGCCCCCCCGGATACAAAATCTGGGGAAAAACAAATTGCACAGCTAGAATACACTTAAGGAGAGGATCATGGCCGGCCAGGTTCAAAAGGTTCCGGTGGCCGGCCGACCACCCCCCATGGTTGGCCGGCCAGGGGTCAAAAGGGTCAATGAAGATTGCTGGCCGGCTACCCCAAAAAGGTGGCCTCCTATGTATGCACAACACAAATATGTGGTCAAAACCCAGAAAATGTGAACCAGGAAAGAGAAAAGCCAACTTTTTAGAGGGGTTCAAAAGGGTCAAGGACAATTACTGGCCAGCCTATACATATTGGTGGCCTCCCAGGTGTGTACAACATAAATATGGGGTTTAGGGATAAAGAAAGTGGCCCCGGGGTGGTCAACATTAGCTTTTTAGTGAGGAAAACGGGCGACGGAGAGCGATGAAGAAATAAAGTTGGCTTTTCTGAACAATTGCTGACCTCCCACCCTCCTACAAGCTTCCTAACAATGAAAATAAGGTCTCCACAAAAAATGAACCAAAACGGATGCAAAACAGAGGTTCGGGGTCTGAAACGCGCGGCCCGGGGCCCCAAAAATGGGCTGCTAAGCACCGGAGGTGGCATTCGACCAGGAAGTTGGTCTCTCGGGCCACAGTGTTCCTCAAAAGGGAGGAAATAAGGTGTATACTAAAAACCGAAGCAAACGGAGGTAGTTAGGCGGTCCCGAACCGAGGCACACGGCCGTTGGCTCCGAAAAACCGGAAACCGGCCTCCAAACGGGAAAAATGGCCTACGACCACGAAACGTTGCCTACGGCCACTGAGAGATAATCTACGAGACCTCTCCCTCCCTTCGGGAAGAGAAAACAGAGAAAATAGAGCCTGGTTCGCAAACCGAGGCAAGGCACGAAAGAGTCTGGAAGTCCGGAGGCAAGGCTTGTAGCCGGGACTCTAAAACTTCTGAACGAGCACAATATGCAATATCACCGAGTGCTCAATCAGTGACATCTGAGTCTTAAGGTCGGTCAAAAATGGGATGTCTACAAAGAGGCTGTTGTCAAAGCATTCCAAGGCATGCATAGAAACATACTCTAAAGCCTATATATATAGATGATAATTCTAAGCCAAGAGAAAATAAATAAATAAAAAATTGTCTCCAAGCACCTACATATAGAGCACTATTCACCCATTTTCATTCCACGGCTGAGGGAAAAAAAAAGAGAGGAAGAGTAGAAAAGAAAAGAAAAGGAGAGGAAGAAGAAAGGGTGCTTGGTAGTTACCAATTCAAAACTTGTGACACCCTAAATATTTAATTAATAGCACAACCAATAATAATAATAATAAAAATAGTGGGCGTGGTAGTAAAACAAATAATTAATTTTTTGTTGGTATGCGATAAAGTATAATTTATTTAGGAATTATTATTTAGGGCCAAATTTACACAAATATGGAATTATAATACTAGTTAGGTCAAATTAGAGTTAAAGATAATTAATAAATAAAAAAAATAAGAGTAAATAAATAATAATAGTAATAATAAATAGCAATTAAGGAGGAAGATTTGCAGATTTTCTAACAGTGTGGTAAATAAGCCACGCGTACTATCTAACGGATAGGGGGAGGTGAGTCATCAGGCTGCTTCATCATCACACAAGCTGAGTCATCACCTAAAATTACGTGTATAAATAGGGAGAAGGAGTGCTGTAAGTGAACGGAAAAACAAAGAGTAAAAAAAAAAGAGAGAGAGAGAGAAAGAAGGAATCAGCACAAATAGGAAGCAAGGGAAGGGCGGAGGATAGAAAAAATAGAAAGGAAATAATAATACTCAATCTTAAGGTGAGTTGTATTATACATTGAGTTATCATAATATATTTTACGTATGTTTTGACTTATCATAATTTATTTTATATAAGTTATATTCATACAAGTTACTTTCTATAAATTATATTAATATTTCAGTTACGTGGATTAATTTTTGAATTCTATTTGTTTAAAATGAAACTCATGGATATGTTTGTTTAATTTTTTAAGAATATTTGACTATGACCTTATAAACAATTATATTTTGTAAATACCACCACGGGAGTCCCATGCATTGAGGGACTTAAATAATCATTGATCTCTGTTTGGCCACTTTGTGGTCTTCTGTTTGTCATGGATCCATTGACCTCTGTTCTGACTGTCACTTCTATAACATCTGTTCTGTTTTATTCTGTACCGTGGTTATGATTATTTATTTATATAATTTCTGTATTTCAGTTTCTGCCACTTAAATAATTTATTCACCAAATTGAGTTATGTAAATATTTTGGCCTAACTAACTATCCATGGTTATTTTGTATTCCCTATACTCTTGATATAATATTTCTCACTCTGCTATGTGCTTATAGTTGTTACCATTTCAGGTGACGAGATGTAGGGGAAACCCATAACCTCACGTAATGGAATCCGCACGAGGATTGATGTTGAACTACTATTTTGTCTTTCTTTTCTTCTTCTTTTTTTTAATATATTTGTGCTCCCTTTTGTTTCTACTCGAGGCCGGTCACTGAATAAAAAAATAATAAAAGCCCTATAAATGTATTTTCTCTTATTAATATAGTAAAATGGAGTAATTTCCTGTTTAATTATTTTTATTTCTGCTTGCTCAGTTTAATTTGCTACGAATAAAACAAATTAGTAAGTTGCGATTCCAACCCTAAGCCCTGGGATTGGGTCATGACAAAAGTGGTATTAGAGCAATGGTTCAGAAAAAATGCTATTTTAATTTGATTAGGAAATTCGAAAAGTTATAAATAAATCTATAAATAAACTATATAGCTAAATAAACATAATAAAATAAATTAATAAATAATAATAAATATTTATTTGCAACGTTAGTCCTTTTGTGTAAAATCTCACGTTTATTCTGGTGATATAGGAATGTCAAAGATTAACTTTGATGTTGCATTTTGGGATGAGCTCAGGGCCATTAATTTAGATGAGATTTTAGTCGAGCGCCCCGTCTCCGCCTCATCTGAGGGCTGAGGAGATTCAGAGGATATAATCAGAGGACTGCATCCAGGCCTTGCCCAGCTGATAGGTCGGCCAATCTATATACAGGTGATCCTACCGATGTCCCATATTTACTATGGAGGCAAAGCCGTGCCGATACACGCGGACATTTTCTTGGACCCACTCGTGTCCTTAGCGTTGCCCCGGGACATGATCGCCCGCATTATATCATAGGCCCTCTACTCCCAGATTTTGTGGCCAGAAGGGGAACGTATACCTTGAGAACTATATTTTCACCACTGTTCCTAACCCGTTGGAGATAATTAATATTCAAAATATTGACTTTAAGAATGACTTGTCATATGTCGAGACACTCGGCTGGATTGTCGATGGAGTATTTTTGGGATATATACAGTCCGTCCCCATTTTCACAGTCCAGGCAGCGTGAATGTGTTTTGGTGTAGTCTAGTTAGGATGGAAATTTGAGCTTTTTATGCAACACTATTTCCCATGGTTGTTTGGCCTATTTGACCCACCACTTTAGATTTTGTAGAAGAAAACCTTTTTGTATGTTGATCATGATGTGTTATAATCCCTTTTTTGTTGTCTTTTTGTTTTTGTTTACCACAGGGATGAGACATTAACATATTCTAACTTTTGAAACAAATATGTAATATTAATTGTAAAAATAGTAAAGTTAGCATTTTATATAGATATAGATTGCGCTACACATGTTTACATATATACTGCGTTGTGAATGTAATGCCTCCTTTATTAATTTGTAGAATGGCCAATAATGGTAACGGAAGCGAGTCATCAGTCAGTGGCACTAAATCAATGGAAGGAATAATAGAAAAAGCAGTTGCTAGCTTTTTGCAAGCCTTGCAGACTAACATCAACAATGAGATGCCGGAACGACGAGAAGAGCCGGTTACCATAACATGGTTTCAGATCTGAAACCCACCACATTTACTGGCGGCCCAGACCCAATGATAGCAGACGCTTGGGTTAAAGACATGGAAAAGATTATTCGTGCCCTACCCTACACCGAAAGACAGAAGGTAACTTTCGCCACTTTCACTTTCAAAAACAATGCACAAGAATGGTGACTTCTCACTATGGAGAAAGAAGAAATTGCGACTTGGGCAAAATTCTTGGAAGTATTCTACGAAAAATACTTCCCAGATTCATTGCGGGAATAGAAGGCATTAGAATTCATACATCTAAAGCAAGGAACCATGACAGTGGCCGAATACGAGAGCAAGTTCACACAACTCGCTCGGTTTGCAACATACGTCATTCCCATCAAAACTTGAAAAGCAAGAAAATTCGAAGCAGGATTAGATGCTGAAGTTAAAGATAGGCTCGAGGTCTTGAAACTGTCAACCTATGTAGAAGTGGTAGACCGGGCGTACATTGCAGAAAAGGGGATTAAAGCCTCGCGTTCTGGGGAACCAAGCCAAAAAAAACGATTATGGGAAAGAGACAACAGAAGACCTGGTGTTGCACCTCTTAAAAAGGTGAACATGGGCATAACCAGCTCAGGCTATCAAGGTCATGCAAACCCCTGAGGTGGCACTATTCCAATTTGTCCTACTTGTGAGAAGGCTCATTGGGGACAATGCCATCGGGATGTTTTAAATACGGTCAAGTTAGCCATTTGCTGAGGGATTGTCCAAAGTTGACTAATCCTACAGCCAGCCCCTCTGGCCCAGTCAGAAAATGCGCAAGGCTTGGAAGAGAGAGGAAGGATAAAAAATGCCAAGGACGGGCTTTCGCCTTGGTACCTAGAAAACCAGAAGTTACCGAAAATGTTGTGTCAGGTACACTTTCTGTCTGTGGTCATTTAGCTCATGTCCTCATTGACTCTGGGTCAACTCATTCTTTTGTTGCACCACACTTTGCTGCCAAGTTGGCATCAACACTTGAACCATTAGGACATATATTGTATGTGTCTTTTCCTTCTAGTAAGTCTGCCTGTAGTATTGATATGTACAGATCTTGTGCTATATTCTTAAAAGGAAAAACCCTATATGTAGACTTGATTCCCCTCCGCATTGGGAACTTTGATATGATCTTAGGTATGGATTGGTTGGCTGCCAACCACGCCTCTATTGATTGTAAAGCCAAAAAGGTCTTCCTCAAGTTATCAAACCAACTCGAGCTTGTCTTTGATGGGATTGGAGTTTCCAACCCTTCTTGTATTATATCCTCCATGACAGCCCAACGACTTCTAAGAAAGGGTTGTGGTGGTTATATTTGTTATGTGATCGATACACAAAAAGAAGCCCCCACTATTGATGCGATCCTCGTAGTACGAGAGTTTCTGGATGTTTTTCTTGAAGATCTAGTATCCTGGTTGATTGAGAAATTGAGTTCACCACTGAAACCCAACCTGACACACAACCAATATCAAAAGCTCCTTATCGCATGTCGATGACAGAATTGAAAGAGCTGAAAACTCAACTCCAGGAACTACTGGATAAAGGTTTCATTTGACCTAGTACCTCATCCTGGAGAGCTCCAGTATTGTTCGTGAAGAAAAAGGATGACACGATGAGATTATGCATCAATTATCGGAAGCTAAATAAGGTCACCATCAATAATTGGTACCCTCTACTGCAAATCAATGACTTGTTCGATCAACTTCAAGGCACACAAGTATTCTCCAAAATCGACTTGCGTTTTAGCTACCATCAACTAAAAGTCAAAACGGAAAGCGTCGAAAAGACTGCCTTCAGAATCCATTACGAGCACTACGAGTTTCTTGTCATGCCTTTTGGCGTCACAAATGCCCCAGCAGCCTTCATGGACCTCATGAACCGAGTGTTCAAACCCTATCTTGATGAGTTCGTCATCGTCTTTATTAACGACATCCTCATATACTCCAAGTCACCAGCGGCCCATGAGCAGCACTTGCGAACGGTTCTACAAACACTACGTGATCACAAACTTTATGCCAAGTTGAAGAAATGCGAATTCTGGATCACTAGTGTACACTTTCTAGGTCACGTCATTAACAAAGATGGCATCTCGGTTGACCCCCAAAAAGTTGTAACAATCATGGACTGGCCATGACCTACTAATGTATCAGAAATCCGAAGTTTCTTGGGTCTAGCTGGCTATTATCAACGCTTCGTGCAAGATTTCTCAAAGATAGCATCACCCTTGACCCAGCTAAGTCAGAACAACACACCTTTTGAATAGACTGACAAACAGGAGCGTTGCTTTCAAGAATTAAAAAGTCAACTTGTGTCAGCGCCTATACTAGCACTCCCTATAGGAGTAGATGGGTTCGTAATCTATAGTGATGCCTCATACAATGGTTTGGGTTGCGTTCTCATGCAAAATGGAAAAGTCATTGCTTATGCGTCACGATAATTAAAGACTCACGAGAAGAACTACCGGACTTATGATTTAGAATTGGTTGTGGTATTCTTTGCCCTCAAAATCTGGCGTCATTATCTCTACAGTGCAACCTGCAAGGTTTACACTGATCACAAGAGTCTTAAATATCTGTTCACATAGAAGGAACTGAATATGAGGCAACGGCGGTGGCTAAAATTTATGAAAGACTATGATATAGAGATCCATCACCATCCAGGCAAAGCTAACGTGGTGGCAGACGCACTAAGCCGAAAGACGACCAGAAGTTTGACATGTACTCTCATTTCCTACAAGATCAATGGACTGCTCGCCAACATAACCGTGGAACCTACCTTGATTGAAGAAATTAGAGCACGCCAATGTGAAGATAAACTTTTGAAGAACAAGTACAATGAGCAAAGGAGTACGCCTGATCCTGATTTCATTATAAGCAATGGGATACTAAAATTTCATAATCGAATTTGCGTACCCGACATTCCGGAACTCAAGAAGAAGATACTGGTGGAAGCTCATAACTCGAGATTTACAGTCCACCTTGGCAACACAAAGATGTACCATGATCTGAAAGAACACTACTGGTGGACAGGAATGAAAAGAGACATAGCAAGCCATGTCTCCAAATGTCTGCATTGTCAGCATGTTAAAGCAGAACATTAGAGACCTGCAGGACTACTACAACCACTCCCCATTCCTGAATGGAAATGGGAACACATCACTATGGACTTCGTGGTCGGGCTACCACGGTCATTTTTGAAGAATGATGCAATATAGGTTATAGTAGACTGATTGACGAAGTCGGCGCATTTTCTGCCAATCAAAATCATGTACTCACTTAATAAGTTTTCCACTTTATACATCAAGGAAATTATTCGTTTGCATGGTATCCCAGTTTCGATCGTGTCTGACCAAGACCCCCGCTTCATGTCTCACTTCTTGAACAAATTGCAAGAAACTTTGGGAACCACACTGAAGTTTAGCACTGCTTATCACCCACAAACTGATGGACAATCTGAAAGAACAATCCAGACGTTGGAAGGCATGTTACGTGTATGCGTGTTGGACCTCAAAGGTAACTGGGATGAGCACCTACTTTTAGTAGAATTCGCCTATAACAACAGCTACTAAGCAAGCATTGGAATGGCACCGTACGAAGCTCTGTATGGACGAAGATGTCGATCACCTTTGTGCTGGACGGAAGTCAGGGACAGAAAATTGATAGACCCAAGATCGTACAAGTCAGAAGTGAGAAAATCTAACTCATCCAACAGCGAATTCGCACTGCTCAGAGCCGCCAGAAAAGTTATGCAGATACTCGGAGACGGGACTTAGAATTTCAAGTAGGGGATCATGTGTTCCTCAGGATCTCACCAACAAGAGGAGTGATCCGATTTGGAAAGCGAGGAAAGCTAAACCTACGTTACATCGGGCCATTCGAGATACTAGAAATGATTGGTCCTGTAGCCTATCGCCTTGCACTACCACCTGAACTATCTAATATCCACAATGTGTTTCATGTTTCAATGATTCGGCAGTACCTTCGAGATCTAAAGCACGTTGTTGATTACGAGGATCTGGAAGTTCAGGAAGATCTCTCTTATAAAGAGCAACCAGTGCAGATTCTCGATCGTCATGATCAAGTTCTCCGAAACAAGACCATACCGTTGGTAAAAGTCTTATGGTGAAATCATTGTATTGAAGAAGCTACGTAGGAAACGAAGAATCAAATGCGAGCCAAATATTCACACCTCTTCGAAAATTAAGGGACATCAAGTTTGGAAACAAACTTCTATTTAGGAGGAGAGAAATGCGACACTCTAAATATTTAATTAATACCACAACCAATAATAATAATAATAATAAAAATAGTGGGCGTGGTAGTAAAACAAATAATTAATTTTCTGTTGGTATGCGATAAAGTGTAATTTATTCAGGGATTATTATTTAGGGCCAAATTCACACAAATATGGAATTATAATACTAGTTGGGTCAAATTAGAGTTAAAGATAATGAGTAAATAAAAAATAATAGTAATAATAAATAGCAATTAAGGAGGAAGATTTGCAGATTTTCTAACAGTGTGGTAAATAAGCCATGCGTACTATCTAACTGATAGGGGGAGGTGAGTCATCAGGATGCGTTATCATCACACAAGCTGAGTCATCACCTAAAATTACGTGTATAAATAGGGAGAAGGAGGGCTGTAAGTGAACGGAAAAACAAAGAGTAAAAAAAAAAAAAAAAAGAGAGAGAGAGAGAGAAAGAAAGAATCAACACAAATAGGAAGCAAGGGAAGGGCCGGAGGATAGGAAAAATAGAAAGGAAATAATAATACTCAATCTTAAAGTGAGTTATATTATACATTGAGTTACCATAATATATTTTACGTATATTTTGACTTATCATAATTTATTTTATATAAGTTATATTAATACAAGTTACTTTCTATAAATTATAATAATATTTCAGTTACGTGGATTAATTTTTGAACTCTATTTGTTTAAAATAAAACCCATGGATATGTTTGTTTAATTTTTTAAGAATATTTGACTATGATCTTATAAACAATTATATTTTGCAAATACCACCACGGGAGTCCCATACCTTGGGGGACTTAAATAACCATTGACCTCTGTTTAGTCACTTTGTGATCCTCTGTTTGTCATGGAGCCATTGACCTCTATTCTGACTGTCATTTCTGTGACCTCTGTTCTGTTTTATTCTGTACCGTGGTTATGATTATTTATTTATATAATTTCTGTATTTCAGTTTCTGCCACTTAAATAATTTATTCACCAAATTGAGTTATGTAAATGTTTTGGCCTAACTAACTATCCATGGTTATTTTATATTCCCTATACTCTTGACATAATATTTCTCACTCTGCTATGTGCTTATAGTTGTTATTATTTCAGGTGACGAGATGTAAGGGAAACCCATAACCTCACGTAATGGAACCCGCATGAGGATTGATGTTGAACCACTATTTTGCCTTTCTTTTTTTTTTTCTTTTTTTCTATATATATTTTTGCTCCCTTTTGTTTCTACTTAGGGTCGGTCACTAAATAATAAAATAATAAAAACCCTATAAATGTATTTTCTCTTATTAAGATAGTAAAATGGAGTAATTTTCTTTTTAATTATTTTTATTTCCGCTTGTGCAGTTAAATTTGCTACGAATAGAATAAGGTAGTAAGTTGCGATTCTAACCCTAAGCCCTGGGGTTGGGTCGTGACAAAACTAGTTTTGAGAATTGTTTGTAAAAACTCTTGTGGTAGGAATACTCAACCTCTATCCTCCCTTAGATATTTTTCTTAATTGAATCTATATATTAAAAATATGTAAGAGTGTGCATTGTTAATACACAACAACTCAATGCATGTTTACATTTTGATAGAATGATAGTCTTATGATTATATGATTTATATCCTTCTTGCAAGCATGGATTAGATGATTTAGCTATTGATTTTTCTTATTATGTATTTAAATATTCTCCATTGCTTGAAATAATCTTACATGCTTATGAATTTGTATTCACTCTTCGTAAATATTATTTTCATCTATTCTCTTTTTCCACTAATGAAAGTAAATATGAAGGATTAAAGTTTCAAATGAGAATAGTAGCAAGAAATAATTTTTATAGTCTTGCGTATGATTCATGGTGAATACAAAGTGTGTTTTTCACATAATAATGAACTTCCTGCAAAAAAAATTTTAATCCGTTTTGAATAAACCCAAACAAACTCATGAAAATACTTTCATAAAATTTGAAACTACTGGAGTTAGTTTAACATGTTTTCATGGTGCTAGAATATCGAAAAAAAAAAATTTATTTGACAACGTTTCATGGCCAAAACATATTTTTAACTTCATTGTTGTTTGGAGGCAGCAGCAATGCTGACTTTACCAGGTGGTTTATTCTACAGAATGAGTTTTTAAGTAATTCAAATTGGAAAAATTAGATTTTTAAGTTACCTTTCAAATGCCGCTGGTTTCATAATTTTTTTATTAAGCATTGTGAGAGAAACATCAATTTTTTCAAAATGTGACAAAATCTGTCCAGTTTTCTTAGAAAATTATTTGACCATCTTCCATTGGGTTTCAGTCTTCAAACTCTTGGGGAAATATATTCTAAACTCAAATATCTAGCAAGTCGTTCTGACCATACCTTTTTTTGACACTATTTGAGGCCGTTTTTTATTTTTCAAACACAGATCACCTGTACTGGAAGTTAATGTAACTCACTGTCCCAGGAAAAAATAATAATAATAATTTTCTTCCAAAATTTATTTCTCCATTTTAAAATCGTTTTTAGCCCTAGTATTTTTCTCAAAATATTTTCCTAATTCAATGAACTAGCACCAGTTAAAATATTGTAATGGTTGAACTTCGTTTGGTATGGGTTTCATATTTTTTTTGTCTGACCATACAGTGCTGAAAGAAGAACTGTGTAAATTCCTAAGAAACTTTGTGATAAGTCCTAAGACATTCTATCATATCTATTTTGGTTACCATACATGATTGTGTTGTGCTATATAAACATTATGACATTACTTTTCAAACTAAAATTCACACATGTATTAAAATGTGAATTAGACGAAGTAAAGAAAAACGAAATTAAACAGATGCATTAAAGTTTACAAGTGATAGGGTGAGCCTGGTTTAGAATCTTACGCAAGTGAGTTGCGAATCCTAACATGGCACGAGAAGGTATTTTGGCTCTTATCGGTATAGGCGATATGAGGTTGGTGGTGCGGGTGTCACAACATAGACCGTTCCCTTGGGACAAATCGTGATGTCATGACTCGGGTATGTAACCCTGGTGCGTGGAGATCATTGGTAGTTTTAGCAAATAATATTTGAATATTTGACCAAGGAGGAGTCAGAATTGCCCGTGGTCATTATTTAGCAGTTGAGTGGAAATAGTGCTCCGCGGGGAGTTACTTAAACTTATTTGATAAACTAAATTTATGTGAATTTAAAAGAAAAGTTGGCATTTTTTCTTATGATGAAATACTGCTTCCGTTTACCATTGTTCTTATTATTTATTGTTATTACTTCAACTGATAACATTGATGTTATACTTATTAAATGTTGCTTGTATTCATTAATTGTGAGTATTATTATCGAGATAGGTATTTTCGGGTTGTAGTATCTTATTGAGCTCGTCGTTCATTGGCATCCCATTGCCCTGGCATTTCATGCCAGGTACCGAAGAAACCGAAGGAAACATCGAGGTGTTGGAAGGCAATATTCAGCCCTGGTTAGCTTGAAGCGTGCCAAAGTTTCATGAACCTTTTTTTTAAGTTTTCTAGTTTTTCTCTAAATTTATTTTTATTTTTATTGTTATTATTATTATTATTATTATTTTTTATTTATTTTTTTGTATTTGTGTCTTTCTTTCATATAAGTGTTGAGTTTTATTGGAGTTATAATTTAAGAACTTTTAATTTCTGTATTGTTAATTAATCTGTTGGCTTTTTGGCTTTTCGAAGGGTATTTTTGTAAATGTGAGCGTGCCAGCAAGGATCAATCAGTCCTTACAGAAATTGTGATTGCCAACCAATTACCAGACGATTGTGTTTTAGTTCTTTCAGCCTCAATGAAGAGGACTTTTACTGGTGGCTTGACTTAGGAGAAATTAAAAGGAATAACAGTAATATGAAGAACAATTGAAGTATTTCATTAAAATGAACACTTACAATGGTCCAAACTCAGCCTCGGAGAGGTTTACAACAGCAATCCACTTGAATCTACTTGAAACTACTCCTATGAATCGAAGTGCAGTGCGGGTATTTAAAGTGCAGGTATTTAAAGAACAGGTATTTAAAGACTGGAAATGTAAAAGACTGGAAAAGAAAATATATGAAGTAAATGACTGATTTGTATGATCTGAGTCCGTCCTTTTTTTCTGGGGCTGCCCTGCTATTTATACTCGTCAGTGATGACCTTCGAACTGCACTTCGAACCGTCGAACTGCTCCTCCATGATCGCTGATCATGCTTCCTTACAAGTAGCTCCATTACGCCATTACTGGCAGTTGAGCTTCCCTCTTGTACTTGAATTTGAATATGAGTAACCGTTGAAGTTATGTCATCTTGCATCCCGTTATTGATCTAGTGTTACTCAGATCATGTGAGGACCAATATTTATTGCCACGTGTATGATCGGGATTAAAGGCTTGAATAGCCTTCCTTTATTACCCTTACTCTGCCACGTGTCGAACTGTAACTGGCTTTTACAAAATATGTAGCCAACATTACCCCCTGCACTAATATACCCAATACTTGGTGATATTAGTGGATTACAGTTTTCCCGTGCCTCTAGAACGTGTATGGAGTCCAAATTCTAGAAACACAACCGTCATCCATTTGGTGATCATTTGCATTAACTCGTCGAGCATCCCAATACCTTAGTATTCGAACAGGCTATGGCTGCATCAACTTCCTTTTCTACTGATCAAGCATATGAAGAGCCTTTGAGTGATGTTGTTCCCCCTCGAAAGAACCTCCACGCATTCATTAGCCACCTTTACCCGCCCTTCTCTATTCAGGTAATGGAGGCTTTTGCAGATTATAAACCTTTGGACTACGAACACATTGCCTTTAATCCCTTGGTTTACAAACTTACAGATACAAGGAGTTCTTCCCCTAAGCTCCCTTTGTGTTTTGACCGAACTACTCTC